ATGCTCAAACTATTTGCATTTACATTAAAATAAACACATTCTTACCATAATTTAATATAAACAATGGATCCATCCCAAAAAATTATTAAATGCTTATCACTTTTAGCAATAATTTATGTTACTAGGAATTTCAATGGTATCTTTGAATTTCGGTTCTTTATTGAACGGAAGAGAAATAGCTGTTTATAACAGTAAATAAATTAGATAGCATCATCATACAGAGCTACCACCCTATGCGCTTGTCTCTCTAAGCTCTTTAAGAAAATATTTTGATTCCTTACCACCAATTTTGCTGAGTTTTTCTGATAAAGTGTGGTGTATGAGACTTAGCAACAAAATGAAACACTTATTTCCTTTAATCATAATCTCAGTGTCACAATCCTATCTTCAAAATAAGTGCTTCAGTATAAAAAATAGATCATAGATCTTTACGACTTGGGCATTCTATATTGACTTCATTCACGATTGTATCCTCGGAACATTTCTGTATGTTGTACTAAACATCCAATTTCCTGCAAGTTTATAGTATAAGGTCCTCTAATCGAAGAGTTCAATTATACCATTTTCGACATAATTATGCTTCCTTATTGTTTGAGAACCAGCTCACGAAATATAGAAATCTTGCAAAGAGCTGATTCGAAAACACTAAGAGTAATCATAGGAATAAAGGAGCATCGTAGTACATAATAAACGACTTTTATAGAAATCTTAAGATATCAATACTAAAATCTGAATTTCATGTAGATAGAAAAAAAACGTGGAAAGCTAACATAACATATTGGCTGAAAAGTCTATAAAAATGACAAAAAAAAAATCAAAATTTTATGATTTATTTCGGGTGTTGTTTTGTGATAACGGTTTGATGAGGAAAAATACCTTGCAACCACAAGATTGGTTAAGTGGTACTCGGACTTTGCTACATTGAGATAATTCGTGAAGAAGTGACTAGGTTACTTAAACGTGCCCGTACAAATAACGATGATGCTTCATACTTGACTGTCTAAAAGAGGTCATACTTAACAGCCGAAAACATCAAAAAAGTTCATAAAATTGTTTCAGTAAATTATTAAATGAAGTAGGAGTGAAGCAGGAGAAAGTTAACCCCTTAAGCATTTCAAAAGAACGTGTCAGTTTCATATTGATACGAATTTGCGGACAGTTGACGAAAGACAACAACGTGTCGACGATTCTGAGTGCTGTTTGTAGTTGTTGAAGTGGCATAAAAGGACTTATTGCGTGGACATGTACAAATAAATTAAGCTTGGATCTACTATGTTACTACAGTTATGAAAGTTATGGCGCCCATATTTAAGGATGCGCTTGGAATTTTGTTGATCAGCTCTCTTGTCGACAGCGATCGCTATTTGGCCTTGTAGTTATTTTTAGATTATTGAATTTATAATGGACATGTATTTTAGTATATAATTATAAAACAATATTCAATGAAGTAAAGGCCTAAAAAAACTTTAGGTTCGGTTAGGTTTTGAAGAAGTGTCTGCAACACACTATTGGTAGACTGCCATTGGATCTATTGCGTTATTTCACGGCTGTTGGTTTAACATATCTATTTTGTAATAATTTATGTTTTTGGAGGATTTCTACTACTTCAAGTATTAGCTATATTATATTAACCTGTGTACTTTCTTTGAAAGTTTTGTTAGAATTGCAAAGTAAGTTTTTAATAATTCTTCATGATTCTCATAAAAGAGTTTTTCAAAAATCTAATATTTCCCTTGTCATGGCTGGACATCTGCAATGCAAAATAGATAAGAGATTGATAATTATTTCTCTTCCTCTTGGCTATATTTTAAACCATTTTTATCAAAAAATCTCATTAACAGACAAAATTCAAAAAAATACGGAAGAAGTTTTTTAAAAATCTGTGGTTTTCCATAATACAAATTTTATTTCGATTTGTGTAAAAAATGGTTAATTTTAGTCATCAATAATTAATTAAATATATTTTATACATTACTTCGATTAAAATAGACCAAAAAGAGTGGTTTTCTTTTACACATTTCGTGACATAACCCTAGCTCTTAAGTCCAAAAAATGTGTCGGCAGTAAATTTTCGAGGAAAACACTCAGAATTCCGTTTTGTGCAAACATGGTTGAAGATTTTGAGCAACTTTTAGTTAAAAGTAGAACAGAACGCTCTCGACGAACTGAATATCCTCGAACGATATCACAAAACTACCCGTAGATTGGAAATCAAAAAAGCATGGATTAATCGAGAAATAATGAATGATTGGATAAATGAACGTTCTTTTGATTTTAGATAACACATCATCTCATTAAAGGGAATTGAAATTAACTTATATAAATAAAGTTTTTTGCTTTCAAACAAAACGCCAGCAAGCCAACCCCTTGATCAAGGGGCAATCCAAAATATTTAAATTTTTAATAGGATCTTATTTCTTTAACACTTGCTACGTAAAATTGACACTACAAGGTTAACTTCAGAGCTGTCGAAATGTATTATTGTGCTTGAAGGTTTTAATTTCCTCAAAGCATCTTGATATAAAGTAGAAAAAACAACAATCCGAAATTGCTTCCGTACTGCTGGATTTTTAAAAGTTTATGAAAGTCTTACCGATTTTGATCGCGAAATAACATTCCGCTCACAATCTATGCTAAATTTCAAGAAGGACTCGATTGGCGAATGAATTCGACAATTTTCTCTAAATAGACAGAAATATCGGTTGAAATTCAATTTGAAAAACAAAGTGATATTATGGACATAAGTTGAGAAGAATAAACTTGGTAAGTGAACCTACAACATCATACTATAAGGTGCCAAAACTTTAATTCATTCAAAATATCGTTTCGGTGCAATTTAAACATAATCTTTTATACTTCCTCGCATAATCTTCCATAACCAGACAAAAACACTGCGACGGTGAGTGTCTGGTTATTAGAAATTTCACTGTATATAAATACATATATATATATATAATATATGGTTATAAAAATTAATATATCAAGAATAAGTTATATTTTATTAGCTATTATGGGTTGTACTTGTGCGATATTTGTTGTATGTATTGTTGAATTTCTACTGTAAGTGGGCAATTCGTTTGAAATTTGAACTGTTGTTGTTGTCGGCTTCCGTGGTTGGTATGTACGAAATTGTTGAAAATTTGAAAAATTGATATCAATAGCTGTATTGATACCTTCGACATCAACGAGCGTCTGAAAAAACTGCTCGTACATAAAAGAATCTATGCTGTACGAGTAAGATATAAGACGCTCGTCATACATCCCTACCATTAGAGTTTCTTTGACTTGGAAACAGAAGGCAACAAATATCAACTAATAATTCTAGGAGCAAATTTGACCATGACGAACGTTATTTCACACATTTACGACAGCAGCGATAAGTATCGCGTGCGAAGCAATTACGAGAATAATGATTATCACCACGCAGGAAAGAAAGACTCGTCTAGAAGCTTAGCTGACCAAATTTTTCCAAGAAAAAATAATATTAACTTGTTAATAATAACTTCATGCAAAAGAAACACTTTTAACATAATTAAAAATTGAAGATTTGAAAGCATATACTTTAAGGACACATCACTTAGTATACTTTGTCATAACATCATTGGACAAATGTTTTATAAGGAAAAGTAAATAAACGTTATCGATACAAGGAATTTTTATTGCTTCGGACTGTGGATTAACATAGTCTCAGAAAAAATAGCGACAGGTTTGTGGTGAAGAAAAAAAATTAGAGCTAGAATAATAACTAATTGTCAGCAACAAAATTATGCGTCTTGCCAGTAGAATATACTTTTTATTTTAGAGAAGAGATTGGTGTTTTATTCCAATAACTCTAATTTTTTCAAAAATCATTAATTTGAATTATATGTAAACAGAAGATTATTTGAAAAAATTATTAGGCAAACGAAAATTGTCACAGGTGTCGAAAAAATTAAGTAAATTTCTGCAATAAAAAGGAAAATAGTTCTAAAATTTAAATATTTGAATCATTTATATATTTCCATAAATTTCCAAATATATTTCCATAAATGCGCAGTTGCCAAGCAAATTCATGTTAATAAGTTATCGTTTTTATAAATAATTACTACTGAGTTCTATTTATAATACGCATGTAATAGTTTTTATGCATAAATGTTTTTTATATATGTTGCGTTTACTTGTGTACCTTTGGTAGCCTTGTAATCATATTTTTACCCAGATTTTATACTACAAACAAGCGGTGGACTTATAAAAACAATCGTTTTTCATATTGTATGTTCATATTGTGTAACATTCCATTCACAGCATCATCACAGCACCATTCACAAATATCGCATACAATTTCTTTCCGTTTACCCCTGTGTCAAACGGAAAAAAAACGTAGTTTTCATTGTTTCATTCACTTTTGTCCTACACCTAGAAGGACAACCTGGTCTTCTGACTCCTTAGGGACTCCATTCCATGACAGCATGAGCAATCGCATCCATTGGTTTTCTCAATGTGTGACTTGACCATCCGTATTGTTGTTGTTAATTTTCT